TTTTTTCTGAGATGTCTGATAGGCTGATTCCACGATGATCGCAGTATGTCCTGTTATTTTCTTAGAAATTGGAAGTATAGTCGCTTTACTCCAGTCTTTTGGCATTATTTATTTTTGCCATGCTAGAGATACATTTCAAGAGTTATGAATGATGATGGACAACATTTGAAGAGTTCGGCTCGAAGGTCATCTTCTCCGGGAGCTGGCTTTAAGCTTAGATTATTTCCTCTTCTTTTGGCGGTTCACAATTGCAAGCTCGATGGGCGAATTATATTCGGGACAACAGATGGTGCACCGTAGTTAAGTTTGGCCTCAAAATATTCTTTCCATCTTTTGAGGCGATCCTTAACAGCTTTAATAAGCATTCCATTAATATTTCGTATCGTTTCATTGATCCCTTCTCGAGTTATAATTTACTTGCGAAGAAAGCGAAACAGTTTCCTATTATCACCTATCCGAACCACTGTCTCCATTCTCAAGACCATAAGATACAATATCGATTTCTTTCCCATGCTGCTATTGTTATAATTCATCATCCGATAATCAGATATTCAGACTCTCAGACTCTCCTGATATTCAGACTTTGGCAGCTTTTTTAGACAATTGGACGATTGCTTCGGACACCCAACTAATGCACTTCCTACTAGTATACCCTAGTATGGAAGTGGCTGACTTTTGTAGGCATATCTTTAGTTGTGACCAGTATTTATTCGCCTATCCAGAGATGTTCATTTCACTAAGGTGTTTCAATAATACGGTTTGCATTTATTGCTCCCGGATTTTTCAATTTGAAATAATTGAAAGATCTTGGGATGCGTTATTTCTTACGCCTTGTCATTATATGAATCTTAGCTCGAACCACAACATGATCCGATCCATGGAAGTTACCAGTTTTAGCACCCCATAAGAACGACTATCAAGTACAGAACTCTTCCAATGATCACTGACCAATATATAGTAAATCTGATTGGAATATTGGTTGCCCGGAGAGTTTCACGTAACTCTCCCGATGCCGAAAGCATGTGTTAGTCATGCTCTTCAGCGAGAAGACGTTCTGTATTGGCGCACTGGACCCTGGTGCTATATTTGCCAATTACCAAATTTATCGTAATGGCATCATGATCTACGCGCGCATTCCATTTTCTTCCGATTATGACCATGTCACCTCTCGGTAGAATTGTCTACAGTTAAAGCTCCACATAGAACTTATCCTTATCGTGGTCATCTGGGTATACAATGATGACCGAAATATTGCAGAACTTTCCTTTGAAACGTGCGTAAACCATACGTCATTTACTGGACAGCGGATCGAGCCTTTTCGGACATGACAATCGTTACGCCATTTCGTCCCGAGTTATCAGAAACACCACAGTGATGTACCCAATATCTTTGCTAGGAATCAGGTTTAATAATTACTCGAAAGCCAACATGAGGAAGATGGACTTCGGACAAATAAGCCACATCCACGCGGTATTTAGAGGGGATGTGAACAGTGATCACTTGGCTAGCAATATCCATCGTTTTGACGTTCCAAGCAGCTAAAGCCAACATCTCACCGCACTTATAAAGTGTTAGTGAATAAATCCTCTCCTTCCTTGACGGGTTTTGACTTATCTCGGTTCGCGAGCAAATTCTATGCTTGGAATTTTATTATTAT